TGTGTGTTTGTGTATGTGTGTGTGTGTGTGTGTGTTTGTGTGTGTTGTACCTGCTCAGGTGTGGTTGTGTGTTGTGACATCACAGCTCTACACTTGATAGTGTTTGTCGTGTTGTTCACCAGGACGGTTTTATCCTCAATCTGCAAAACCTGAATCCCGTATTTCACTGAAGACAACACACAAAACTGACAAAGCTGAAAGAGAGATAGACTTTAGTCACTGATTCCAGATTAATCTCACCCATGCAGACACAGATCACCGTAATTATAAAAAACACACACACACACACACACACACACACACCTTGAGTTTTCCCGGCTGAGTTCCAAGTGTGATGTCCGTGTGTATGTATCCCTCCTCATCCAGCAGCAGGACGTCTGCTCCGCCCCCCTCCGGCCACAGCGGTGACGACACCTCACGGACCAATCGCACGGCAGGAGACTTGTGCACCGTGTTAGTGTGCGGCCAATAGATGCCGATCTGGAACACACACACACACACACACACCTCCACCGCACACCTGCGCACACACACACACACACACACAATACACACACACACACACGTGCTGAGCAGCTGCAGACATCAGTTTATCTCACCGCTCTGAAAGTGATTCCAGCGATACCGTTCCTCTTTGTTATTGTTATAGTTGTGGTGTGAACACTATTACTAAAACTTTATGGTTATAGTTATTAGTGTGAATGGACCTTAATGCAGGAGTGCACGCATCACATGACACACCTGTCCGTCTGTCGGCTGCTGTAGGGCCACGCCGGACCGTTGGATGTCTTCTCTCCGTAAAAGTGCTCTAGAACATCCTGCTGGTTCTGGTTCTGTTCTGCTGCTGCTCTGCTCAGGATCTGTTTGATAACAGCAGTGGACACAGGAATTGCACAGTGAGTCCTCTTCCTCCCTGGAACACAAACACACAATCAGTGTGAATGAGAGCAGGTCCAGTGCATCATGGGTAATGGGTCAAACGCAACAGCCAAGACACAAACAGGACAGAGGGAGAAGAGGAACTTTATAAGGTCCTGTCTGCGGTTCACTCAGACGAACACGACAGAGAGTGTGTGTGGCTACGACTGTCTGTCTGAGCCTGACCAGACACACATACAAACACACAGACAAACACACACACACACACACACACACACACACACACACACACACACACACA